TAATTGATTGGAAATCGTTTGTGATTTACAAATATATCATTTTCATTGTTTGTGAGTGAATTATTTCTTAATTATTTACAAGTTTGTTTTATAATGAATAATTGTGGTGCGCATGCGCTACAGATCCGGTCGTATCCATCACTACCTCGAACAAATGAGTTTCATGATTTGTTCGTTTTTAGGTTATATATTTCGCTAGATCCGGTCGTACCCATCACTATTCCGAACAAGTGAGTTTCATGATTTGTTCGTTTTTAGGTCTTATATTTCGCTAGATCCGGTCGTACCCATCACTATCCCGAACAAGTGAGTTTCACGATTTGTTCGTTTTTAGGTCTTATATTTCGCTATTTACTTCGGGGTCCCTGACACCCCGGTGGCATATTATAGAGTTGCAGCGTCACTGGTACCTCGGGGTCTCTGATACCCCGAATGCCGAAGTGTCGGTAAGCAAAGAGTGTCATCGGTGTTTCGGGGTCCCCGATACCCCGAATGCCGAAATGTCGGTAGGTAAAGAGTGTCATCGGTGTTTAGGGGTCCCTGACACCCCGGATGCCAAAATGTCGGTATGCAAACAGTGTCACCGGTGCTTCGGGGTTCCTGACACCCCAAGATGATATCCTGTCGGTATGCAGAGATAGTCACTTGCGGTTTGGGGTCGCTGGCACCCCGATGCAGTATTATTGGTATGCAAAGATAGTCACCGGCGTTTCGGGGTCCTTAATACCCCAATATAATATCAGATAGGTACACAAAGGGCGTCATTGGCACAACGGGGTCCCGAACACCCCTGGACAATATCAGGTCCGTATGAAGAGGGCACAACCAGTATAATATTTTTCCAGAGTTTATTTAATTTACTTCATTTATTATTTCTTGCTTACTAAATAAGCTCATCGAAGGGGAATAACATTTATGATTATATCCCTCTTCTGGGTCTCAGCCGAGGACCCCATTTATTTTACTTTTTCCAGTTATTTATATAATTTTATCCCTCATTATAGGCCACGGCCATCTCAGTATCCCGTACACCCCAGCATTCCTTCTACCCCAGCATTCCTTACATCCCTGCATTCCTGCAACCCTTAAATACCATTTTTTTTTTTTTTAACGTGGTGGAAATCTTTAGAAAGACACCCTCAGTCCCCCTGGGGAGGGACCGAAGGTAGTGTGGGATTTTTACCCACTAAAACCACCACGGTGGCCTGCACTAGGGTGGTAGGGAGGGTCCTTTGACCCCCCGCCTTGTGCCATACTGCGCCGACATCGGGGGCGACACCCGATGCCAGCACTCCTCTGGCCGCGTGCAGTGGAGACCGGGGCCCCAGCCCCAGACCCCTACGGAATTCCTCGTTCTGTTACATCTCTGCATCCCTTACATCCCTACATTCTTTTCATCCCTACATCGTTTTCATCCCTACATTCCTTACATCTCTTCATCCCTTAAATCCCTACAATATTATCAGCCCTACATTCTCTTCATCCCCACATTCTTTTCATCCCTACATTCCTTACATCGCATCATCCCTTACATCCTTACATCCCTACATTCTTTTCCTCCCTACATTCCTTACATCTCTTCATCCCTTAAATCCCTACATTCTTATCATCCCTACACTCTTCTCATCCCTACATTCCTTACATCGCATCATCCCTTACATCCCTACATTCTTTTCATCCCTACATTCCTTACATCTCTCATCCCCTAAATCCCTACATTATTATCAGCCCTACATTCTTTTCATCCTCACATTCTTTTCATCCCTACATTCCTTACATCGCATTATCCCTTACTTCCCTACATTCTTTTCATCCCTACATTCGTTTCATCCCCACATTCTTTTCATCCCTACATTCCTTACATCTCTGCATCCCTTATAATAAATATATTATAAAAACTGCTTCGAGTAAAGGTAAGTGAAGGTAAGTTAGTAGAATTTCGCGAAAATTTCGAAAAAAACAGCGCCCCCTAGCGGCAACAATTTGAACTAAAATAGCGATGTCGAATCAGCGCCCTCTGGTGGCGAAAAAAGGAACTATATCATGCTCAATTTCTGGCCCTCTGACGGCAAAAATGCGAACTAAAATGGCGATGTTGAATCAGCGCCCTCTGGTGGCGAAAAAAGGAACTATATCATGCTCGATTCCTGGCCCTCTGGCGGCAAAAATGCGAACTAAAATTTCGATGTCGAATCAGCGCCCTCTGGCGGGGAAAAAAGGAACTATATCATGCTCGATTTCTGGTCCTCTGGCGGCAAAAATGCGAACTAAAATTTCGATGTCGAATCAGCGCCCTCTGGCGGGGAAAAAAGGAACTATATCAGGCTCGATTTCTGTCCCTCTGGCGGCAAAAATGCGAACTAAAATTTCGATGTCAGATCAGCGCCCTCTGGTGGCGAAAAAAGGAACTATATCATGCTCGATTTCTGGCCCTCTGGCGGCAAAAATGCGAACTAAAATTTCGATGTCGGATCAGCGCCCTCTGGTGGCGAAAAAAGGAACTAAATTTGTATAAAATCGCACCCCTCATAGCCGCAAAAATTTCAACTCAACTTCAGGGAGGTACTGGGATGTGTCGAATGCAGGAGTATAAGTGATACAAGGATGTAACAGATACAGGCATGTGAGGGGTGCAGGGATGTAAGGGATGTTGAGATATAAAGAAGGCTGGAATGTGAGGAATGCAGAGATGTAAGGGATGTGGAGATGTGAGGAATGCAGGGATGTAAGGGAAGCAGACATGTAAGGGATGCAGAGATGTTAGGAATACTGAGATGTAGGGGTTGCTGGGATGTAAGGAATGCAGTGATATAAGGGTGCAGAGATATAGTGGAATCTGAGATATAAAGGGTGCAGACGGAAGTAATCAAATCAACACGTTCATCCTCCTAAGGAGTTTATTCAATAAGCTAAGAAGGTTATTACAGCAAATTAAATGAACGCAGAAAATGAAATAAGGATATATGTATGCCTTTAGCTACCTACATGAAGCTAGCCGGAAGGAATAATAAAATATGATTATTTTTAATTTCTCTTGTATTTCGTTCATCAAAGCAATCTCATCTGGGGTTGTCTGGAACCCTTTAAATCATGACCTCTCGCAAACAAAGGCATGTCCAGTCTTTTGTATTTGTAGTCACTGCACTGGGTAAGGATTTGTAATACATGGACGCAGCAATATAGGTGAATATAGGTAGCGCGTCGTTCGAGGGTGACGTTAAGTTTTTGACTGCTTGGGTATTGAATATAATTTTGTTAGTTAAAAGTATTTCATATACGTTTTAAAAAATTGAGTTTAAAATGTCGTCGAGTGACATAAATATGTTGGTCGATATGGGTTTTAGCATGTCTAAAGCGTAAGGACTTCTACTAATGAGCGTTAACGAGTATATCTAACCTTTAATATTTTAATATGTATTTTATTTTAGGGAAAAAGCTTTAGAAATCACAGGAAACAAAGGTGTTGTTCCAGCAATGGAATGGTACGAGAAAGGCCGCGGCTTCATTCTCGTCGTCCGATGACGATCTTAATTTTTATTTTAGGCTCTTGGCTCATTCAGATGATGCAGAACCATTATCTGAACCACCTATCGCTGAAAGCGCACCACCGTCAATTGATCATACACCAGTTCAGGATGACACTGCTAATTCTATTGGTCAGGTATCTACCACTGAAGTTGCTAAATCTATGAAATGCGATATGTAAGTGCATCATGTTTATGTTGACTAATATTTATATGATATTTAAAATAATATATTGATTAATATGCATATATAGATGTGGAAAATTGTTTAAGTCTAATTTGGAAGTTGAATTTCATGCAACAAAGTCTGGACATGATAGATTTTCTGAAAGTACAGAAGAGAAAAAGCCTCTTTCGGATGAGGAAAAGAGAGAACAACTACGAATATTGACAGAAAAATTAAAGCAGAAGAATAAAGAACGAGAAGAACAAGAAAAGAAAGATGCACAAGAAAGAGAAAAAAATAGAATAAGGTCTGGAAAGGAAATGGCTGAAGCTAGAAGAAAGTAAGTTATACTAAAACAAAAAAGGAAGTATATGTTATATGTTTATTCACCTATTTTCATCTTAGGTTAGAAGAGTTAGAGATGAAAAAACTTTTGGAAGAAAGAAAACGTGAAAAAGAAGAAGAGAAATTAGCACGGCAAAGGGTAAGAGAACAAATTGAAGCTGATAAAGCTGCCAGACGTGCTAAAGCTAATGTTGAACAAGTACCCAAGGAACCTCCTTCTGTGCCTTCATCCTCTACAACTCATCATAGAAAAGAATATAATGAAACAAAATTACAGGTAATATATTATATTTCTGGATGCATATTTATATACGTGTGTTACTTTTTTCAATATATCAAGAACACACCAATATTCAATGTTTCAGATTAGACTCACTAATGGACAAACATTAACACAAAGTTTTGGAAGTAAAGAGCAATTATCTGCTGTCAGATTATTTATTGAAATTAATAGGACAGACGCACCTGGTCCGTTTAATTTAATGACGAATTTCCCAAAGAAGATCTTTACAGAAGATGACTATGATACTCCATTGGATGTGTTAGGTATCATTTATTGTTATTTTTTTCATTGAAATCGTTTGAGTCAGCTTTTATGATTTAGAGTAATCTTTATATGTCATTGATATCAATACTTTGTAGTAATTGCATAATTGAAGATACAAAGTCCAATCATCTGATTGTAATGACTATACTTTCAGGCTTAGTACCATCTGCAGTTATAATTGTGCAGAAGAAAGCAGAGTGAACGTCATAAATATCAGCTTGCAGTGCAATCAATAATATGATTTGTAAGCTAATGTACCAATTTATAATGTCCTACAGATTCATTATAAAGAAAACAGCATTTTAAAATATTTCTTCATTTGTAATTTACAAGAGGTACACGTTTCTATGATATTTGTTATTTAACTACAGTATAATTTGCAAATAAAAAAGGAAAAAGAAAAATATACAATTAAAAATAATGGCAGTTTGTTTGTAATTTTTAATTTCTTCATAGAAAATTATTTACCTTTCTTCTTTAAATATTACAATTTGTAAGTTCGACGTATCACGTGTTTCGTAACTTTGTACATTAGGTAATTACATTTGTACTACAGTGTACCCGTGTGGTACTTCACTCAGATACGTTACCAGTTTAGAATTATCACAATTTGTAGGATATCCATAAATACCATCACAATCAATTAATTGTAGTGTCTTATCGAAACATATTCGTATCTCGAATATATATGATTCCCCAGTTTGCTATACCAATCGCAATATTAATTTGATTAGATACTAATCGAATTGATTTAATTAGATATTAATCGAATTGATTTGAGTAGATACTAAACACTTACCTGGTTTTTCTGGCACATTATCGCACCCCGTTTACCTAAAACCTTTTCAATGGCATGAAGAATATCCGCCTTTGCGTACGCTTTTCCAGGGATGATATTCGCTTTTGCCAATACATGTTTCATATCGTATGTTGCTAATAAGTTAAGCCCTTTTGCAAAATATTTATATTCAGTATTTAGCTGTTCTATCACTACTGCACAAGTCCCATGTTTATTCCATTCGTGTTGCCAAAGTGAAGAAGATTCAGTACCCTCTTGTACATCTATCCATTTTTCTTGCAGCTGTTTAATCAATGGTTTTAGCGCAGTCGAGTTAAACACGAGAGATTTATTACAAAATTGCGGCCCTAATTTGTGCAATTGAGAAGGCCAAAGACCATGAATTGACCATTCATCTTTTTCTTTTGGAAAATAACATTTATGCGATGCGGAATTTGTTTTCCATTTGTAGCAAACAGTGGGAGGCCAATGTTGAGTGAAGATTAAAAGATCGAAATCATTCGATTCCGATGCAATAGGTTTCCGAGGAATAATATTGCTAAAAAAAATTTTACAATTTCTTAACTCTTTAAGAGTATCTTAAATCTAATAATACGTTGAGAAAATTAAAAAATACTTCAATATTCTCCTTGTATGCGTTACGTATTTTAAATCGCGAAACGGAGTACGATTGAAAAGAATAGCTTTCACTTACCCATTTACAATAGTCAGGAGAATGATATATAAAATACTGCAAACTTTTTTACTATCAAACATTTTTGTGGTAAATTTTAATTATTAATCTAAACAAAGAAAACATGAGCTAATGTATATTTGCCCGTGCTTCAGCTGCTGATCTTATGAAGAAAGATCTGTACTGTCGCTCCCTTTTAAGAACTGCACCCCACCATATCTACACCTTTCTGATCACGTAGCAGATGGTCAAGCACCTAAGTGTTTCATGTTTTGTAAGATAAGGTGAACTTGTGGAAAAAGCGCTCTCCCTCTGATTTTGATAATTTTTAAATATGCTGTTAAATTCGACACTTCGGTGAACTCGAGGAAAGGCGCTTTCTATTTCAATGATTTTTTGAATATGTTGTAAAATTCAACATTTTAAGCAACTATTCTCCTTTAACCTTCATGTCGGACTTACTTAGTTTTCGAGATATTTGCAAAAAACCAGGAGCACCTACTACTATATTGAATTTCGCCTGTACGTATACGTCGTGGCCGTTTATCTTAGATTATTTCGTTGTAAGTTTGCTCAACGCTACAAAAGAGGAAAATAAGTGATCGTGCTTATCTCTCAATATTCCATGTAAATAATTTTCATTTTTGAGTGTGGAATTCATTTTTAATATAAAATTGCTTATCACATCAAAGTAATTAAAAATAAAGGCGGTAGATGAGTTTTGATATCTAAGCTTTGATAAATGATATTTTTATCCATAGCTGAAATCTATAAATATAGAGCTATCTGTCCTCGTGAGTTAAGTTTACACGTGAGTGCCTCAACATCTGGTACAAAGTATATTATGTAATTATAGTTATTAAAACAATTTTATTTTGTATATTTTATTTAATAAACATACAACATCATTTATATACATTTCAAGAATATTAAAAACTATTTCAGCAAGCGTTTCATCGATCTATATATTCACTTTTTTGAGAAATTAATCCTAAGTTAAATATTTTTCACATTTTTTCTAATGCCCCTTCCTATATGCAACCTAGTATACACGCAAGCAAGTAAGTAACTCTTACCAAAGGCGCAGTCTCTGATTACCGACACATGTATACTTCAATTATTGTTGAAATTACAAAAGGTTAAGAAAGATTTATTAGATAGAAATTCTTTTACCAAAAAAGCGCTGAGAACGATTCCACTTTAAGCGAAGTTACTTAAAATGGTAAACAAATCTTCGATCAATCTGTGTACACTGCAGTAGGTAAGTAATGGCCAATATTTTTAAACGCTATAAAATATAAAAGAATCGTGTCGTAATAAAAAAATTTCTTTAATATTATATACTGATACCATAAATGATTGAGGATATTTTGATATTGGCTCTACATGGACGTTAAAGCGTGTGAAATTACCGACGATTACTTTCTTAAATATTGTATATTTTAATTCGATACATTTCGTTGTAGAAAAATTTTTTCTATCAATATATGTACAAGATACAGATCTCTTTGTTAGAGACTACTTATTTGGCTTTCTATCACATTGAAAAAACAAAAAACGGTTCCACTTCTTCCTCTCAGTTTGTATTTTGTACACGTCATGGAAAAAGACTAGCTTTCTTAATTATCAATATTAAAGCGACTCTTTATCAACCTTCCAATCAGGTGCAGTGCTTGGAATGTTTTGTTTGGCCTAAGTCTTTGTCTTAATAAATAATAGGTGAGAATCTTAAGGAGAATGAGGATAATTATCAAGGCAAGAAAATCTACCCAGAACACCACATGCTCCATTTCTGAAACAAAAATTTAGGCATTGCTGTATTTATTAGATTTGCAATTGTATAATGAAAAAATTGCCATCCTAAGGGAAATACTTACGCATTATTTGTAAAAGTAGTCGAGGTGCGCTATATTCACAGAATATTTCTGTCGGCGGACAATACAATTGTTCACGATTGAAACCGTACAAGGCGGTTATAAGACCTTCCAAACCGTAACGAATGTAGCTCAGATACATTATCAATTTACGATAAAAAGGCAAATCTTGCATTTCACCCAGTCCTTGCACCGCGACCAACATCAAAGGAACAGTGATTGCGGGTCCAACGAACGTACCGTTCTATAAAACGAGTATTTATTTAGAAACAAATATTGAAAATTTAAAAACTGTATGTATTTAGAAACGTACCACTATATTTAACATAGTGGCTATAGCCAGGGCCATACTTTCAGCTATGAACATACACAAAAAACAAATGCTAAAAAACATCGTGCATCGAAAGAGTTCCATGGGTTGCCCCGTAATTACGTACACCATTGACAGATATATTGAGGATACGAATATCTGCAAAGTTGAATCAACGAAGAAATTACGATCCGCGAAATGGCTCTTGTTTAATCACAGATCAATTTTTGGAGAAGTTCACCTGTGCAGGTAAGTTCACTACGGTGAAGGCACAATAATAGGGGCTCAAGTCGTACCACATATTGAAATATTCTCGTTTAATAAGTTGCACCTCCGCAGGAACTGTAATTTTAAAATTAATTAGAAAAAAGGAAAAATGATAATGAAATTTAATAAAAACGAAAATAGAGAGCAATCGAGGATATCACTGTACAATATTTTATATGATAAACGCGACATCGAATCATTTTTCTTTGGAGAATTCTAGATCGGGTTTCAACAATTAAACGCCAAGAATCATCGATTCTTCTCGCATAAATATTGATTTCTTACACTGCATTAATACCGGTAACATAGGTACGTAGAGGAAAATTATCAAACAGGCGAAGCAAAAACCAAAATTGAACAAGGTCTTCGTCCCATCGTTACCAACATCCAAAAACAAGCCACCGATGATAAAACCGAGGAATATGTGTAACCCTATCTTTAGATACATGTAACTCTGTAAAACGTTAATTAATTAATTAATTAAATTGCTTAACGAAAGTGTTCATTTGGGCCTGATATTTCATACCCTATTTCTGTACAACTGTAAGAACATCCTTCTCGAGAGAACAACGAATTGATCGTACCAGGAAACTTTTAACGTCTTTTCCGGAAGATTTGAAGCCGTTGACCGAGAAACAGGAACGATAGGCATTTCTGTGTCCACGAAATTTATCATTCGAGTTATCCACTCTGGACCGTATTCGCCAGCAGATACGTCTATCACTATAACGATAAACATTTGTTTAGAGATATTACCATCCATCTATGACATGATGAAGCCATCGCCACCTTAATCAAGGTACCGTTTACTCACCAAAATCGGCGGGATTGTAATGTTTCGGGCATTCCAAACCGACCTGTTGTAGAAACGGTACCAAATTTTGCACGGTGTTTCTATAAACGCATTGACCATTGGCTACAACGTAGACATGATCGAATTTCGCGAAAATCCTCGCACTTGGTGTGTGAATCGAACAAATTACGGTTCTTCCTAATCGCGCTAAACGTTCCAACAGCTCGATACACTGTGCCGCCGAGGTTTCGTCCAATCCTCTGGAATCAATATTTTAAATCATGTTGAAAGCCATTGTCGTATTACTACACGTAAGTTCAACGAACGAATTACTCACGAGGTTGGTTCGTCGAGAAATATGACCGGAGGATTGTTCACCAGTTCCAACGCGATCGAAAGTCTTTTCTTCTCGCCACCCGACAACCGTTCGGAAATCGTGTCTTTCGCACGGGTTAGTCGTAAGATGTCCAAAATTTCTTCGATCTAAAATTATCGAAATTACAATATCCAGAAAGAACGTCGTAACAATTGAATTCAAGAAAAAGTGAATGAAAGCACGCATCTCCCTTGTTGATCTTGTATCCGGTGTGTTTCTATCCGGTAACACGCTTCGAGAATACGAATAATGCCGCGCAATGCAGTTTCAGTATTCTTGTCTTTCCGAGAATACACCTGTACATGCATTTTAAACTGTACAATTTTGCCTGTACCTTCTCCAAACACCATAAGAAGAATGCTGCTTCGAGTAGAACAATGGAAAGAATTCATGATATTTGGTGTAACGTATGAAAGGAAGAGCGCAATACAATTAGTGATGCTCTGTTAACTCTTGCTCGAGTTTTGCAAGGGCCTTTTTAACATTTTTAACATCGCTTTCTCGAAGGCTTCAATCACTTTGAATGAACATTTAAAAAATATTGACTAAAACTTACAGCGGTCAGTTTCGTTGCTTTGGAAATGTGTCCAAGCTTCAAGTCCACGGCAAATTGCATCGCCTCGAATACCGTGAGCCGCGGTTGAATCAGATCCTCTTGCATAATGTAACAGGACATTTTCTTAAAAGACTCCACGTCTCGTAGCTGTCCATTGGTGCTTACCTGTCCGGTGACACCGGTCAATCTGAAACCACGATGACCGCCGATTTTGTAAACGAAACGAAGAGCGAGGGAAAGGGTAGCCAGAAGATGTGATTGTTGGTCGTGAAAGAGTCTCGATGTCGTAGCACGCGAACAGAGTTAGTTTATCGATCGACCTGACGTTAGAATTCGTGTTAACTCCAGCTAGGGTGAAACTTCCACTCGTTTATCCTAGGTCGCGGGGTCACTGATCTTTGACATCGAACTCGAGCTTTTAGACAAAATAGATGATTGAGAAATAAATGCAAGTCACAGAACGTTTAAATTGATCAGCGATTTAGCAACTTATTGGCTTGTTAAAATACTGTTTCAATTACTTCCGTGTTTGATAATGAATGTCACTTATTCGACAGGTAATAATTTACCTGCCACACGATTTGCATACTTGGTTTATAATGTATATTTCATGAAATTTTACTTGTATGCTGCGAGGATGTTTAATAAGGTAGACTTCCCTGCACCCGAAGGACCCAAGATCGTGGTCAACTCTCCGGATCTGAATTGTCCGCAAACTCCTCTCAAGATTACTTTCGAACCTATGACATAAGAAAATAAGTATTACAACAATTTTACGTGTACGAAAAATTGTGAGAAAATGCAAATAAATGGGGAGTTAAGTATAATATTCCAAAGGAAACATGACACGGTGTTCCACGCGTAATTGTTATGCAGCTCTCCGAATAATTTTATCACCGTTCCATGTGGTAATCGTGTCGTTAACATATGTTAAATATTTAATATTTTCGAGGTTCCTTTAATCAGCAACGTCAAACCCGTTGTTTGACAAACTTCCTTATCAATCCGTGAAAAATTATTATTACTTTCGAACGATAATAATAGATATTCAAACGGCACGATAAACACGTGCTTCAATGTATTCAAGTGGATCACATTCTGATCAATCCTCGAGACTTTTAACACCATTTATTCTATAAGCAAGTCAGGCAAGAGTGGAATGGAAAGCAGACAAAAAACTATTGTTATTGAAATCTTTTTCAATTAAAGTACATTCACATGAAGTTATACAAAGATAAATTACATCCTTCAGAAATGTTTCCAACTCCGGTGGGAGGCTCTACTTCTCGTCTCCTCGACATTCCGATTACATCGGAATAACATTACTAATTTACTACGTAAATGGCACAGTACTATCAAAAAAAAATGTTACAACATTGACAGTGTAATAAATTCGTAACAGGTTCATAAGATGTAACATTTATACCACTTTTTATAAACGCGGACCATTTTCTCTAGAATCATTTATCATTTTACGACGATCAACTTCTAATTACTTTGAATAAAAAATTGATTATACATCCTTTGAAGAGTTGCAAAGACTTCTAAACGATTAAAATTCATAAAGCGAACGAATGTCTGATGAAGAAAATTAATAATCCAAAGTCATTTATCGATATTCGTGATGAATTCATCTTCAGAATGTGTAAATCTTCAGATGACACCAAGAATCTTCTTTAATATATTATAATCATTCAATTACACAACGGCTAATAAATGGCATATTTCACAGATTCTGAAACGTCTATGGTTATCTAACTTTTTTGTCCTTGCATTATGTATTAGTGTTAAATCGACATGCAATTATCCGAGGAACTGCACTTCTATGTTGTACAACATTCAGTTTGAAAGGTTTCAAAGAGGAAGATAGCTTTATTCAACGATTATCGCGGAAGATAACATATAATATCATATTGATTAAAATTTTATCATACCATTCTATCGTAATGTTGTTTTGATATACAAAAATAGAGTGTAAACATTTTAACCGATCTAAACCAAATTTTGCATAATTAATTTTTATCATTCTACCGGAACACTTTATCTCCTCCCTCAAATTTCACCCCCTTGACCTTTTACGATAATTTCAATTTAAACTTCGATGTTCTAGATATAAGAAGTCTAAGAAATGTCGGGTAATTTAAGTTAGTTAAGAACATAAAAGTCCGTCAACATTATTAAGTTAGTACTACGTTAATACCATACTACTTCCTACTTTATCTCAATCATAATTTTTTCCTGATCATTTTTATGGTGGAAAACTTTGACGGAAAAACCACGTACAATGAATTACGGATTGAAAAACGAAAGAATAGAATTACAATTATCTGGAAGACTCTTATCTTGCATGTTATTTTTAGCTCTAAGGATGAGTGTAAATGGCACAAGGAAATATGCACATTTTACTTTTTAATTTGCCTGGGGAAGCCAGATTCTCTCCGTTTTTTATTGTATTCAAAATAAGCAGCAATTTACCTTTTCTTCCGTAAGGTATCGTATAAGTCAGGTCATTGAATTCGATGTCGATCGGTGGTAATTTTTTAAGATGCGACAAAGACACGTTCTGCGTAGCAGCATGCTTGGTACACTCGCGTGTCCCATCGATGCTCTTCTTTGCCTTGAACTCCGATTTTATGGGCATGTTTGATATTAATAATAGCTTCAAAAGTTCACGTTCTCGTCACTGAAGCCATTTACCCGTGATCGCCTTTCTTTCGTTCCTTGAATGATTCACCGCACTGAAAACACACCCCGCTTGATAAATTAACAATTCGTTTAAGTAAAAAATTCATTTGAATTTAAATATGTCATCATTTAAAATTCAACTTTCGTACGTTTATGTAAGCTACTTGCGATCAAGTGGTCAAATTTGTTGTAATTTCTGAATAATTGACGTGTAATCGATACGTACCGCTTTAATTTATCGTGGATTTAATTGTTCAATTGATTTTAAATTGTTAATTGTTCTTGAAACACTGACAGTTTCATGGAAAAAGAGTTACTCTGACGAATAAAACACATGGGGAACAGTCGAAAGCTCAGCACACGACAGATCGCGGTGGAAGACTGATGTTGTAGCAGCTTTAACCAGGTCCCTATTCTCAACGATACCATAGTGTGCGTTTCTATGTTTTATGTGTGCGTGTGTTACTCGCTTACCCGTGCTTTACACACCACACAACCGTTCATCGTTGCATTCATGGATTGATTACGTATATCACATTGACACTAGGAGATACCTGGCCGCGATATGGCTAAACTAATTACATATCTTTGCGATAATTGAGAAATTTATTCGTGCCTGTATCAAGCCTACTGTTTATTCTCATTCTTCAGGAATAAGAGGGCAAGCTGAATATTTATAATTCTTTTTTTCCATTGTTGTAACAATAGAATTATTCACAATGTTTGCCGTAATGGAAGAATTAATCAGAATTTATCTGTTAAGAGCTTTTACAGTCGATCCAATTTTATATTTTTCCACTAACGATTCGTATATTATCGAACACGTTCCAATTGAAAACTTTATCCTTTTATAATAAAATTGCATAACGAATTGTGTAATAATATAATTGGTAGTCTTTGGAGCACTTGAAGAAGTAATTCGAACATTTCGTTAATTACAAGTCAATTCTGACAATTTACATAACGATAGATATATTTTTAAGCCTTTGCTGTACTTTATTGCATTTGTTTAAGATGATCCTATCGAATCTTTCTTTTTCAAAACAATGGTAAAACTTGAATAAAAGCATTTTAAAAAAAGCTGCAAAGTCCAGCATGACTCACGCAGAATGTTTGCAGAAACTCATACCCTATGACCATGAAACTATTACGAATCGTGATATGTACTAAACTGGAACAGAAGAAAATACTGATAGCAGGAATTTGTTATTATAAAGAAGATGAAATTTTTTCAGTTATATTGCAAAATTTGTATGTAACGCTATATCATCTAAACGATAAATATTGGTTTATTATTGGTTCAAAGTTTGAAGCCATCTAATTTTTTAATCTTTAATCACAATGAATTCTAAAATGCTAAGATGCTAAGAATAGCTTACAATCGTTAATTGACAAAAGGAAGAAAGATTTTGAAAGCCATTAGCATTTTATCAAACTGGAATTACGGTTTATAACAAACTAATCAAACGCTGTTAAAAAAAAAACTATTTATAAAACATTAAAAATTCAACAATGATAACATCGTCCAAGCACTCGTGCCAAGCGTAAACTGAAACGATTCAAATCGTCTGATAAGACGAATAGTTTGTAATGTCACGCAAGATGTAGTCAATACGTGATTTAATGTCTGAAATATCTTACTGTACTTTCAACAATGTACATAACATGCATTTATTGTTATCTACAACAAACAATTAAGAGGAAAAATATTTTTGAAAAATCTACCGAGAAACGCGCGAAAATTCCAATCGGCTCGAATCCAGACACTCACCGTTCAAATAACAAGAACCGACTGGCTGAGCCAATTTCGTTCCTTCTCAATTGCCAACTACTACGTGTTACAATTCTTTAGAATACCTGTATATGTACACGCATGCTCCGATCTACGAATTACGCAGAGATATTTTCCCGAGGTTGCTTTTCTGCACGGTATTTCCTCTGTGAAAGAAGTTACATCCTCCACGGTGCATTGTTCTGACCGAAGAGACGGATTCTCGCGAAACTCGTTATTACCGCTGCGTGCGAGCAAACTGTTTATTTCGTTTGCAGCTGTTTCCGTTTGTCTCTCCGTTGCCTCCCCTGACATTAAGTTTCGCGCAGAATTTATTTGCATGCTAATTTCTTGTTGACTTCCGTAGAAACTTAGAATTGCTACATTAAATTAGCAAAAATCATTGCTTTAATTTTGTTTTTCAGTCATGGGAATTAGCGTATTGAAATTCAAGACGTCCCAAACTCTTGTCCGATTTAAAAGTAATTTTCTTATAGTTTAATCTCGTAACTGATAGCCCCTGAACGTTCGTGTTACGCCTCTGTAGCTTTTCTTCATTATTTTTCTTCTTTTTATATAAATACTCTACAATACAATAATCTAGTTCCGAGTAAAACATTTTGCTTTGTCAATAATTTGTCTGAACAAACATAAATATCCCCTCTCATCGCAGAAGCTCAGTAAAAAAGCACAGCGGTAAATGCATACTTTCTTTACATTACGGTAACCAGTCAACATTGTCTATCCCATTTGTTTAACCAGGAAGAGAGGAAAATGGAAAAAATTATACGGATACTGCTGTCAGGGTAAAACAACGAGTACGTTGAACTTTCACGGTAGACAGAAAATCGGAGACACACATTCTACTGTACATGTGCATTCGATTTCATCCTAGTATCTCTATTAAAATGAGCTATTTGTGATAATTAAAATTAACACTTTCCCACTTTTTCATACGTGAACGAATTTAAGCAACAAGTATATTACGAAAAGCATGGTTTTTTTTATTCGTAATAAACATACGCTATATAAAATACAACGAAGACTATGCCAATTCAGCATAGGTACGTGCATTTAGATGCACGGTATTATTTTACAAAAGTATACATAGATGTATATGTATATTGATCGTAATCGATCACGCTGATTTAAATATAAACATGTATAATTTATACCATTTGTGTAAACAGTTACAAACGTATTTCCCGTTAAAGTACATTTGTCAAGTCAGTGAATATCGTTAAAAGATAAAACGTGTTTAAACACGTGTTTTATTTTTTTTCTTTTTCTTTTTGATTCCGCAAGCGATACCATACGTAATATTCCTAACGATGATTAAAACTCAAAGAAACAGTTGTAAACTGATGTTAGGTTGTTAAGATTTTAAAGCTTTTTGATATACTCTACTTCTATACGTACCTTTCCAACGCGACTCATCTTTTTAACAAAGTAAATTTGCTTAAAAAATATATAAATCGTTTAGTATAGTACACACTCTATCTATAAGAGACACATTAATTGGAAGAGTTACGATGAGTTTTTAGTTGACGCGCTATAAAGTATAAGTCCCCGCGTATACAACGATATGAAATCGATGAATGTTATTTTATGATGCTTTACAATTTACAAAAATCTAATATTCGATATACGCAACGAACCTGGCAAGATAATCATTGTTTTGAATGTTGTTCTTAATCAACAAGAACATAACGCAACGCTGTGACATAACAATCCGTACTTCCGCTTTCCCGTAACTCTTCTACATCGTCAAACTCACAGCCATAGGTGGATAAAAAATGTGATCGCTCACGAAACATTATCAATTAAGGCCTCTTATTCTCTCCAAATCATGAAATTGCGATCTTCCGAGACTGCTAGATTCCACCACATTTTGTTAACATGTTGACTGGCACAGTAGAAAAGAATATCAATTGTTAAAGATATTAATTCTCTAATTGTATATTACTTTGATCTGAATTACTAACGTTATTTCAATAGCGCTTAGTATTTTTCCTCTTTGAACACAATTCGTCGGTCATCGATGATCGCTGTGTCAGTTAACGCGGTAACAACCCTTCTAGAAAGCAATGGTTATACACACTTTATGTGTATTTACGTGCGATTGTAATTAAAGAGACGAAAAGGTACCCTGAACGAAAGCATCGCTAGTCCATTGCAGAGTTGTTTCAACGTGACAAACCTAATAAGGGCGAATAAATTATATTAGCCTAAATCGTACGAATTCGATGCATAGGTATGAACTATACGCGTGGTGTTCCATTCTTTCGAGGTATAAAATTTTATGCAATAATTCCCTTCGACTTCGAAGATACACGAAATTAATTAACACGCTGACTGATACGATTTGTTCTTTCGAATTACCAATGGAACTTCAATCGTATTCAAAACCTTTTTTCTACCGATGACCATCCATAACAGACAACGTATTAATTGCATCCTTCGTTTGAACAGCAATGCTAATGAAATGTATTATCGCGTTATTTTCGAACGTTCCTTTATAGATAAAAAAAATGATTTTTTTGGACTGTGTCAACGTGAATAATAACATGGCGAACCCTATCGCGCAGTCTTCAGTTTCCAACGAAGGAACAGATAGGCAACGATTCGAAGAACGAGAAATATTAAGAGAAGGGCAAGAATATCGAGCGTAAAATCGGCATCGAGCATGTCCAGCTCCTCCAAGGTTGTCTCAGGATTTTTAAAATGGCAGTAAATCTGTAAAATTACAATATTGATGAAGACTTACATCGATGAAAGATAAATATGCTTATTTGTGCAAATGAATTAACTTACCTGGAAACATTTAAGTTTTTCTCGACCAAACGAGTACGTGGCCAACGCAGTTCCTTCGAAACCGTATCTGATGTAACTCAGATACGTGATCCATCTGAGATACACAGGAATCGCGTCGAAACTAACGAAAAATCCTGAGAATAGTAGGAAAGGTACAGACATAACCGGTGCCAAGAACACACCGTTTTGTACGTTCATAGCCGCTCCAACTACCAATCCAACCGACTGTGCGACGAACGAAATCAATAAACATGTTCCCAGGAACATACTGAATCGCGTACCATCCGTTGGTTGGCTGGTCATAAAGTATACGAGCGTTACGTAAATTATGCAGAATATCGCCTACAAAAAAACGATCATACGCTTAGACAAACACAGATGGGAAATAAAGGTACACTACCATGTACTATTCGTCCACGAGAAGATGGCTTACCTGGAATGGTATGTCTGATACCGTGATAGCTAGATAGTACGCCTTCAGGGAATACCATCTATTAAAGTTTTCCTTCAAAAGTACCGGCAACTCTAATGGGACTGTAAGAAAAACAACATTCTTGTAATACGAATCTCATCATTACACGTTTGGAATTCTAAGGAGAAAAGCAATTATAAAACATACACGACAATATCGTGATGGTCATGGACGTGTACATAAGAAACAGCATGTTGAAAAATAGGAATCCAAGGTTGCTAAGTACTTTAGCACCATCATTTCCAATGTCATAATATAATGCACCGATCAATAACCCCACTAGAACGTGAGCAAATAGTCGAAGATACATAAGGGTCTGAAAAGAGATAATCAATTGTTTTAGAAATGGACACATGCATAGAATAAGGCAATCTCTCAATGACCATTCGAATCATCCGAAACTCACCCAATCTCTACGACTGAAGAGTAGAGTTCTTTTCAAAACGATCCAGAATTGCTGAAACTCCGAAGTAGGATATCTTTCAGGAGTAACTACAATTGATTCGTCGAGCAGGGCTACATCAGCGTTATCTTTCTTATCCATGTCCATGGGTATCGCTATATCGGCTGTAATGACACCATAAAATAGGTGTAGGTGTTAAAAAGGAGATGAGTTTGGGAATACGTTTATTTCACTCATAATTCATTCGTTTTTTTCTGCATACCTTGTTTCGTAATATCATTTCTGGCAAAAGTCGGAATAATCCTTTTATTATTCATTTCTTTTGATTTATCCTCTTGAAACTTTTCCTCCAGATTACTGACATCATTCTTATCCTTTACCTCAGCATTCTCTTCACTTTTTTGAAGCGATTCACTCGTCGCGTTATTCAATCTCTCTGATTTATTATCAGGGAAAGGGTACCCCTCTCGAATATCGTACTTTCCATTCTTGATGGCATTCACCAAATTCTTGATATTGTCCCCGTATTCCCCGCAGGACACCTCGATGACTGTGAATGAAAATCGTGATCATCGAATATCATATGATTCGATAAAGGGGAAGAAAATAATGTTTCGACAAGGTTTCGAGAATAATTTTAAAATACCATGTAAAAAAGCTTACTGAAAGAGGCAGGATTGTGATAACTAGGACAATTAAGTCCGATATTTCTGAGGAAAGGCACTAACTGCGAAGTGGAACCCTGGTAAACGCATTGCCCCTCGGCCAATGTGTACAAAGCATCGAACATTTCAAACAATCTAGCACTAGGCTGATGAATGGTGCATATTATTGTTCTCCCTCCTCGAGCCAACGTCTTCAACAATGAGATACATTGAAAACAAGAAGACGAGTCCAGGCCACTGTAAATTATTAAATAAAGAATATTATTATTTTACCATTAATGTTTTCGTTACGATTATTATAGCTGTATAAGAAGAAACATAAATTGCTCAACAAAAATATCTTCGTATTTGTCTTCGTGGAGTCGGGTATTTACATTTATTAGACCTTGAATTAAGTGGACGTTGATTAGTTGGCTACTTTGCGTTTGTCTCTATCTGATCAAATGAACGAAAATGAACAAGGGCGATTGTGAACCTTGGAGAACCAGTTGGACGAATAATTATTGAAATTTTAATTAATCACTGGTACAAAACTGCGATGATACAAGCTCGTAAATTAAAGTGTGTCACTAGGTGATAAGGTGGATAAAAATAACGGTTTCGCTTTGTATCTGTAAAGCTGGTTATCACTTGAAAAAAAGGCGCCACACAGAGTTTCAGTGAAAGCGACAGAGAGAAAAGAGTTTCAAAACGTTGTTTAAAAAACTATGACCGCATACTTTCTCTTACCGGATATTATGGATGGTACCCTCTTAACAAATGTAAAAAATATTTTCAACAGAATCTGTGGGGTATCACGTGCTTGAATTCCTTTATCGAAAGAAATCGAATATCAGCGATTATTCGCTGACACTGACCATGTTTTTGTTAAACGTGTTATATAAAGAGCAAACAGGTTTCCTTGACATTCATGGTGGTGAAAGCGAAAGTATATATAGAAGAAGAACATATATATCGACGATTTGGTATCTTCCATTAAATTTGATCGATTCCATTTAAGGAATATTTGGAAACAAGATTTCAAAGACACGTCCTTGACGACTTTTACCTTCTTTTTCCGCTCGGGAATCAATGTTTAGTAAAGAAATTGTCTGATAACTTTTATACACGTCCATTTAATTCTTTGGTTTGTTACCTAGCTTTCTTACCTAGTAGGTTCATCGAAGAACATTATAGGAGGATTGTTGACCAATTCAAGCGCAATGGAAAGTCTCTTCTTTTGACCTCCGCTCAAGTTCGAGGTCATGGTTCGGCGATGTTCGGACAGGCCAAGCGTTTCAAGGATTTCTTGAATCTAAACAAAGAAAATAAAGAAATGTTGCATTAAAAAGTTCGATTCTGAAAATTATTTGTGACCTTTTTTGCAAGAAGCAAAAGAACAAGTTCATCAGAAACGTACCACTTCCTCTTTCTCCTCCTTGCTGACATGCGAACCAAGTTTAAGGTTCGAAGCGACTTTCATGGCTTCAGCCACTGTTAAATTCGCATGAAGTTGATTATCTTGCATGATGTAGCAAGATAACTTTCTAAAGGCACTAAGGTTCCTCTCGTGCCCATTCATCGTGATACTTCCCTCTACGCCAGTTGATCTAAACAATACATATTCGGAATGATTTATTAATGGAAGACGTGCTCCAAAAAGTCTATATTCTCTGAAGCAGTTTGATATGCAATGACCTAATAGATATCCGGTGTCATTGAGAACAATCAAAGAAGGACGTTGTGTTGATTTTTGTTATTGTTTCTTATGCGCATAATTCACTTAAACATCGTGTTAATGTCTTGTTTGTAATGACGTCAAGGAAATGAAATGGAATAATACCAAACGAGAGGATAAATGTCATCCCATGTTTCAAACGATGACTGATCATCGAAATTTACTCGATAAGGAAAATGGCAAACAGGTTTCCATTTACGATTCTTCTGTCTGCCTACTTCATTTTTACATTTCATCGTCCTTCTCTACTTCTTATTGTCAAAAAAACTATGAATATAAAGTAGTTTAGCATCTGTATATGCTGTGTATTTGTTATCGAAAAGTCCTTGCGAAAGGATTGCATAATGGACAGGAAGAAAGCGAAATCACATATCCCAGAAAGAAGGTGAAATCGTTACTCGCGGGACGAAAGTGAAACGCGATCTTTTAGAAAACACCGAAAAACTTCCTGGCCACGTTCATTGACAGATACCAGTTTATCTCATGACTGACGTTTGAAAGAGGATATGGACTGTAAATAATGAATAGTGGTCGTGTAAATAAAAAAATTATATAAACAGTTTTGTATCTGTAAAAAAATAAAAACCGAGAGCATATAGAACAAAACCTGACGCATGTGGTTAATGGTTTTCCAATGAATAGCAAGAGCGTTACAAAACTTGCATAAACATAATGACTCACTTGTATCCGGTCAGGATGTTTAAAAGAGTAGACTTTCCTGCACCGGAAGGTCCCATGATAGCCGTCAGTTCTCCAGACCGCAGCCTTCCACTGACGGATTTCAAGATTGTCTTTACATCTGTAAATCAGATACATAGGTACATCCTGTAATAATGCATATTTTTTAATAATTGTTAAAAAAATATATACCTTCTTAATTATAATCAATCAATCAATACGCTTGTAAGATATTTTAACAAAGAAAACTGTAAATAATCTTTGGAGTATGTTTTGGAATGTCAAAGTTGGTGATACATTTTATCAAAGAAAAATGATAAAATGTGGTATCGGCAACCATGCTGGTGCATCATCATTTCCTACATCGCCAATCATACTTTGCCCCGAGAGTTAAATATCGAGAATAATGAGACTCGTCTTATCGCGTGATATAAATTGATAGCATTCTTTTTACTCCTTCAACATTGCTCATCCACAAAAAGAATTATTACCTTTCCAGTTGCATTTATTTTTCATTTATTGTCATTCAGAATCAAAGCTATCCGCAATACATATTCGATTATCTAATGATTATTCATTAAATTTTATTGCACGTTAATAATTAACGATGCAATATCATTTGATAAGTCAAAACTGACATCGTGATATTATTACTGTTACATCACACCGCAGTTCTATGCATACATATCGGTGATTGCGTGACATTGGTGTTTTTTCTTTCATTACACACGTAATATACTCATCTGCCTAGTCGACAAAAAATAATGTTTTATTTTCAAACGATACAAGATTGGATGTAACGTTATCTTTGCAATGCTTCAACTATTGCAATTCACAGCACAAGTAATAAAACGAACAAAAGTATGTGTCGGCTTTGAACGTTTAGTTTCTCTTAATTCTACACGCAGCTAAAGATTTGAGAAGCAAAATGTCAAGGATCTTTGAACGACTATATATTTTACTCAGTAGAATATCATTAAAAATTTTCTACAACTTCTTCCAGACGTTGAATAATCAAACACGATAATCTTACGGATATCGAAGGAAAGTGTAGCTCGAAGAGGCTGCTCCTTGTTGCGCAAAATCAGGATTGCAAAAATGTTGCTATAACGTGTGCGTTCACTTTCTATACCTGGTCATATTTGCTTCGATCAACTTGGCCGTATGTTCGCTTCTAGATTCATACCATATACGAAAGTAAACCAAAGGAAGAAGAATCAGAATCGCATTGCAAGAATGAACTTTGTTCAGGAAAACAACGCGCTCTTTTTCGATTTACTTGGAGACAGCGAAATCAATATTTCGTAACGTGAATATGTCTGAACAACATAATTATTCTATTAGTTCGTTTATAATTCGTGTAATGTGATGAAACAGTTACCGAAGTGGTCATTGACACGCAAAGTGTAATGCGCCAATTATGAATTATTAATTAAGGAAAAGCAATTACGATTCAAAGTCGATCCTAACGATAAGTGAATAATTAGGAATAAAATTTTATTTGCCACGTTGCGCTATTAAAATAATTAAAAATTATTCATACTGGCGGTCACTGTTGATACCCATGACGGTCAACGTGTTAATTAACGACAGAATATAAGTAAAAGGAACTACTACTTCCATGGTTTCTATTTACTTTCAAGCTTTCACATTTTATTACAAGATTCTGCGAACGGCATTGGTATACCTAAGTACTACTGTCACTGTTCAGTTAAAAGGGAAAATTGTAGAATTTGAAAAATGATTTAAATGTTTTATTTATTGATACTTGAAACGAAACGAAAACGTCAACTCGATGCCAGAGAAACGAAGCTTTATCGCACAGCTGCTGCAATTGGAACAGTAAACTGCTCCAAGTATAAATTAACGATAAGTGGGAACAAAGACTTGCATTTTCAAATTGCTCGTCTTATTGTTACGGTTGCCTATCCTACCATACTAATTTTTCCTGCGGTGTGTATTACGAAAATTCTCTTTAACGCGCTGATTACTATGAGTTCAAATAATTCAAGTAATTAAGAAACCAAGATAGAAAGTAAATTTTCAATTTGATTCAAAGGCTTATAACAAGTATCCTATGGAAATGATAGTTGAAACTTTATGCCGCAACCAGTTTTCTTACAAAATCTCGGTCAACTACGCTTCACAAAGCGTATAGAAAGTTAGACATTTTTCTGACAATATTGCAGGCAAAATAAAGAAAAATTCATGAAACGACCAGACATACAGGAAAATTAATTTGACAACTGTAAAATGATTATCAATACCATTTGTTCGAACCGTGACGCAATTTTTTTTCGATAGTTCGAATCGTAACTTTTTCTCTCATTATGTTATCTCGTTAGTTGCACTGCAACACTGATAAGGATTTGTATGTGTATCTCAATGTATTAATTTTACAACACAAAAAATGCATTATTCGAGATACATGCATGCTTCTTTCACATGGATAAAGTTTACTTTCACTTTATGGTCAATGTCATCGAAAACAAGTTTTAGCCATTTCAGTTTAGTTCAGATGCAACGATGCAATATCGCGACAAATAAATTTATAATCCAAACGATCAAACTTATTAACATATTTGCCTCAACTTTTTTTATTTGAAACCGGACATTTTATTTTGCATAAACCTGATACATCCTTTCAAGTTGCTTACCTAGTAAAATAGACGGATGTGCAAGTAAGCACATTCAAAAGTGCCATATTTTATAACGCGATTATATTCGAGCAACTATTTTGCCAAGTATCAAGTTAGATTTCGAATAGATAATTTTGGTAAAAGGGACCACATTCGTTGCTTGAGATATCTTATCTGTCCCTATGACATTAGTTCTAATCGGTAGTTGATCACTATCGATATGATCGATGTACAATTACTATGAGCCTTCCCAAAATTCTGTACTAGGGTATTCATAACAGCCCTATTTCAAAAATGTATTACTATACTTACTGTTTCGGCGGCCTTCTCGTACTTTATACGCCAAGTCAGTGAATGCCAGATCAACTGGCGGCCTTTTTGGTAGGTGAGTGATGGTTTTTGGTTGCGCCGGTACAATCTGCAAACGTATTCCCGAGCCTTTCCTAGGTTGTAATAAAATCTCATTCGTATTATCCTCGTGCGAACAATTTCCTTCAAGCTTCATCTTGTATCCTTGTAATATATCCTTAAAATGTTTTAATCTTTTTACTCGAACTTAATTTAGTTTCGTACAAGTACGAGTTTTAAGTAGCCTCGTTTCTCTTTTTTTCTTTCCTCGGTTGATTTTTCGTTCAAACGAACCGGTCTTTTCGCAGCGTTACGTTCTGGTTACCGGATAAACGTACGATCTCTTTCATTGCCTGGAAAATTATTTATTTTGTAGGACTTGAAAAAGAATACAACTCGAACAATATTGGCGGAACTTGAAATTAAGTGCTTCAAACGGTTGTAAAATATATTTATTTCAGACGAAATTATTAGTTTGTTTCTCTTGGGTGATTTCTAATTAATAATAAGGTATAGATGAGGCACGCAACTGTTTTGAAATTGCGAGATACCAATACCCACACAACGGTGAAGAGATTGAAGTTTAGCATTGGACTTGCATATACAGAATGTTTCATAACATGCGGTACCCATTTTAAAACAAAACAATGAACTTTGAAAAAACATGAGTTTTATTGAACCTTGCTTCAAAATTACTATAATCAGTTTTCTTTAACTCTCATTTCTGAACGAATCTGTATGTTATACAATTCATATAATTTTTTAAGTGTTTTGTGACAACTGTTTACAACTGATTGAAAATTAATACATCATTATAAGCTGAGTCATAAATAAATTCTTTTACTTGTCTAATCTTAAAATCTTTGAGTGTTATTGTTCGACCCAGTGTTTTTAAAAAATATGTTATCATTGCTGTGAAATAAATGAAAAGTTAAATTAATCCATCGCATGTTTACGTGTAAAATAGGTAGCATATCTTATGAAGCAACTTGTATACTGAAAAGTATTTGAGAGGTTTGCGATACGGCTACGCGAGCAAAGGTCTGCGGACGCTTATTTCCGCGTTTAAAATAAAATTTGCTCGCGGTCACGTTCTCCATCAAAGTTTTCCAATAACATTGTAATACAATATCCCACTTATTTCTTTTTGTAAGACAGAACATTTGAACTAAAGAAGCCAGTATTTTCCAGTGTACAAAAACTCTTTTGTTCAAGGATTTTCGCAGTTCCACCGTTAAACGAGTGATTCGTTGAATTTGAAATAACGCGGGCTTCTTACATTGCGGACAAGTAGCGACGCGAGTCTGATCAAAAAGCGACGATCATGCTCTCTTTGAAAGCAACAACTGCGTAGACCAGCAACTCCTATCCTCGAGACAGAACCAAGCGCATCTCGGTTTCTAAATTTTCCACGTCCTCGGTATAAGCGCTGAATTTTTTTTTTTTAATGATCTACGGTTTCACACCTGCACGTATCTTCCTTCCGGTACGACTATATCGAGGAACGAACTGTCGAAAGTGTTAACGAAAAGAACAATCGAGGACGAGAACGACACACGGTCGATTATTCGACGACGATGCTCGGAGCACGGTGTCTCGAGACGGACTGGTTGGCTCTACCATTTGCTTGCACCGCGGCCATCACCATTGACCGTCGTTGCTTTCCACAGTTACTGTTCTCTCCTACTCACTCTATTTCTCTCTCCCATTTACTCTTAAATATTCTCTTTTCCCTCCGCTTCGTCTACCTTTTTAAGGACACGACAAAGGAGGATGATCGTCAGAACAAAGAGAGGGTTAACACGATTAAAGGCTGGGCCTAAAGTGATTCGAGCTTTTTAGTTGTACCCTTTGGTACTTGCCGTTTTACTAAGCGACCGATTGTTCGCTTACGATTCATTTGTCTCGATATATGTAACCCCAACGCGGTTCCAACTTTCTTCCTGTTCGTATGGGCAGCTCTGATAGATTCGAAAACGAGGACATAGTTACCGGCTAACTCGTTAAGTATTAACCGTTAAAAGTTGGACGACCGAGTCAATTTCTCTAACTTTGTTTCATTCTTCTTTTTCTAGTGAAACGCTTATGGAAACGCACATTTCGTGATAAGGACTTGTTTATAAAACAACAAATCATAGCCTCGTATGAAAAATCAAAGCGTGACATACTTACGACGCTGATAGAAAACAATATTGACGATCGGTAAAATGTTAGAAACGTCATTTTGTTTTAATAAAGCAATCGCTCACAAAGTTGTAACACACTGTTTTCGAACCTTGGCTACTGACGTTTTTTCATTTTTTTTTTTTCTCTTTCAGAGAAACTATTTTGTTGAAATGACTTGAAATGTATGCATGAAAGGAAGATCACGTGTTCAGAAACGCATTGCGTTTCCGATGAAAAGAAAATTGCAATGTCATCGCGTTGTTACAAGATTCCCTGCAACTAATCGGATTGGAATAGTCTTATTAATTTTCAACTTTAATTAATAATTCTTAACTCATTAGTCACCATTTATATTTCTCTTGCAATTCTGAAAAAGAGAAAAAAAAGAAGAACAATAGGCTGTTATTAGCGTTGCTTTGACGTCCGAAGTTTATTGTGTCACGTTTCACCAGCGTCATATCCTACCTGTTGAGTTTAACAACGAGAAAAGTAGTTCGTTAAGACCGATTTATTAAATTACTTTACGTTATTCAAAATTTTCTTTCCTTTTTCTGTTCTTCGCGCGTTCGCTACCAGTGTCACGTATCCGTAACGCTCTGATTTCTCATGAATCTACATTTCGCATACCTTTGAAACTAATCAAAGTCGTTTCAATCTGTCGCATAATTTAAGCAACGTAACAAGTTTCGTCACTATGTGTCCTATCCACTGTGGCAGACAAGGTGTTAACGCGTTCATTATCGCAGTGAAAATGGACATCTCTAGTAAGACATTAGGATACGTTTGTCTCATTTGACGATTTAAACTAAAATTTAAAGTTTACTTCTATCTTCTATTAATCAATGCTGATGAGCCATGGGTAATCACATGCCCGGATAGCAAATTTACAATGACGCATAACACGTTCGATTCTATGACCAGTAACCATCTATGCATCTTAAATGATTTCGCACGATCAATACCGCTATCAGTACATATTTTTACCCTCTGAACGTATATACAGATTATGATCAAACATTGATCAACGCTAATCCTATCAGGATGTTGTTATTGATTACAAATTGATAATTTATGATAATAATAACATTATCTGTATAGGTATTATATATTTAAACAACGCATAAATTTTCAGAGAAAAATTCTACTAAGTACATAAAAACATATGAAATGAAACAAAAAAAAAAAAAAAAAAATTATTCAAATAGCATAGATTTAGATAATAAACCAGTTTTTGTATACAAAAACTCTGGTTTTCCATGTTCCAGCTAATTATCTCACCCACCTATGCCATTGCCTATGCACTGACGCCCCTACCCTTCAGACTTCTCTTCTTGCACTGCATCGAGAGATTCAAATACCGATATAAAAATTATATGTTTAACGATGGCTAGCATTTTGCAAAACTTACATCGAACAATAAGCATTCGATAGTAACGTTTTCCATGTACGACTTGCATGCTTAAAGTCACGTAGACGACATACAGGATCACAATGTCATTGTACGCAAGGCTCGTGTAAGCATTTAGAAGGACATTTCATACTTTCGTCGTCTTTTTTGATATGCAACAAAACTGGTTTCACACTGGTTTTGACTGACATACGCGTTGAACAGAGTATACGGCTACATATTTCGTACGTGTGGGTACAATCTGTGCTGAATACATTTCTGACATCGGTATACGCTACGTAAGATGTTAGAAAAAAAGAATACTCATTCATCGATATTGCATTTGATTTAAATCAAATGAACAAGGAGATAAAAAGTTTCAGAGAAGGCGACAGAAAAAGTATTCACTGAAATTCCCAAGAAAAAACGGCCACCGAATGACTTAGCAGACTTTCATTCTGTTTAACCGTTAGACTGTTAATTAAAAATTCAATTCGTTTGTTACTCGGAAGCGTGGCAATCGTTCTCTGGAATTTTCGTTGAAATGTTCAGAGTTTTGTTAAAGTATTGATTTGACAATTTCGTGATCGCATAAAAATAGTGAGAAAATCTACTGTAGGTACAATGCAACATGTTAAGAAAAAGACGTATCATATTATCAATGAAGTTATCGCAATGATACTTCACCGAATCTATTCAGAATAAAGGTCGCTTACACAACCAAAAGCGCAAAGTCCACGGTTGAACAGTTGTCGTTGTTTAGCAGCTACGATAAGAACATAATTACTACATTCGTGCAGCGAATCGATTCCTACTTGATCGCATACGCAAAGACGTATTTTCAATGTACATTATCAAGCACGATTAACATGGAATTTACCTTAATTTTCCATGAAATCGCAAAAATCTGAATTGTAAGATATTCTATACACGTTCGAGACAGTAATTGTATCATTTCATAAACGCTTTCCAACATTCAACATACATCATATAAAGTAGAAAAATGATTCAGTAGTTGGTATTTTAATAGATACGAAGATTTTTCTCGTATCGTTTGCGCGGATGTCATCATTAGCATTCTGAACGTTACATTTCATACTTTATTTCTTATTCCCTCTATGTCTAACGCAAATACAATGATATTAGCAATCGTTTCTTAACTTTTTTAAAACACTCTGCATATAATATTTCATCGTTTTATTGTCGATAGTCATAGCATTATGCACTTAATAAGTTTCAGACCTCGAGGAACAGAAGGAAGCCATGGAAACTTCTTAAAAGTTTTATCACGACTATGCCTCACGGTGCATCGACACGATATTATCACGAGGCCATTCTGATCTATCTATCAAACTTAATATTATACATATCCTTCATTCGTTCGTATGTAAATCAATCGATTCGCTGTTTTTATTACTTCATTAAGATACGAAGAAATAGTTAAACGTTTTTGTAATTGTTATAAAAAACATTTTACTATAAAGTAAATTATTTATTATCAGGTTGGTGACCTTTTTGCATATTTTCTTTCAAAGGAAAATAAAAGGCAAGGAGAGATTCATTTGTTTGCGCGTATAAAACTTTCAAATACCTGACTACCAATGAAGCTTGAAAGAATATTCTTGAAGAACAATTGTTATGTAAATGTTAAGTATTTTACTTACAAACTGTTACTACTGTATATTAAACCGGCGTGTCCATTCTCCCTCCCGTGCTCCACCATTTTTTAATTCTTTGATCAACGTGGACGGATTTATCTTGACTCTAATGTATCGACGAACCTGAAATCGTACAAATAAATTGATAAGCTGATATACGAAAAATAGATTTGGAATATCGTGAAAAATCAAATGGTATTTACAATATTATGATACTAAACCTGAAATATTAACATTCCGTGAAAAAAAATTTCTCGAATACAACAATGTATAAGCTTTATCTTTGACAGGTCCATTTTTATTTCAAAAATTAATTAATATAATATCTAGTTTGTAACTTTTGGCGCCGAATAACAATACTACCGTCCTGTTAACCTTGACGAGATAGTAAAATGAATTTTAAATGAAATTGACGTAATCACACAAGACAGAGTTTTGAACTTTGACTTTGAATGTTATGTTCGAAAATTATCACTGGTAAAATTAACTTAAACTCAATTATTATAATATAAAAATGAATGGAAATTGGAAGTATGGCGGGAAATTGAAGGATCGATAAGTTCATCCTATTCCTATCGATAGAGTGTTCTCGCTGTCTATTCCGTTCGATTATTCTAATGAATTGAATAGAATGATATTTAATAATATGTTAATTGATTCTGTAAGAATACATAATGCGTAGTAGCGTCTCGGTAAAAAGCAAATGATGAAAAAATAAAGGATCGCCTGTAACGTAAGAACTGACGCGCACCGTAGCAAAACCGCAAGAGCTTGAGGTTATGCTCACAAATAATCCCATTCGAATTTTTCACATCTCTGCAGTTACTTCTAATCGTATGAATAGAGAGTTTTTTGGCCACAAACAATGTAAACATTTAAAATATAATCTTCGTTCAGAAAGGTTACATGGAAAAGAAAAACTGAACATACCCACTTTTACGCCTGCCAATACACGGCACGACGTACAACTAAACGAGTCGATCGATGTTCGACAACTGTTGTAAACTTTAATCATAGTCGTCTAATCGACGATCATTCAATATCCCCATTCCAAACTTCGATCAGCGGATTGGTCGCCGATAAGATTGTGGGATCGTAAACTTTAACGTCTTTCCCCACCAGTGTCCATTTAATATTTTTATTTCTACTTTTACGTTTTATGCGGTATGTTCGTTCGCGCACTTTTGTATACGCATTACTACTTTTTCGTTAATCAATAAACGAAAATGGCGTAAACTTATTACATATCTTTTTATAACAGACTCAGTCGATAAGGCCAAAAACTGTACCTCGCCGCTAGGATGAATAAAAGGAACGATATAATCAAACGCAGTTCAAGTTTACATGAAAATGTACTACCATTGGTCAATTTATACGTATACGGAACAGAGTTAGGTATTGTTTATTTGAAAGAATAAAATGATGCTTTATTTGAAACAATTCTTTATTCTCGTTATCTATAAATTAGTTTCGAAAATTGTGCAGCACATAGCAATTAGCAAATTCGTATTGTTACAACAATACGAATGTCCCAAGTCACACCACAAGAAAGTTGCTGCAAATGGTGATCCGCCTTATCTTTGACGACCTATCTAAACACGTAGAGACCTTATTGTGCCATTTATTTCGTTCATATGTTCATTATGATACACCTTTAAACGAGAGGAGCTGCCTTGGAAAAATGAAACACATGAAACTAAAGAAAAATTTCTTTACAAGTTTTGTGCAAACTCGTGAACGTAACGCCTTAAAGACGACCACAAAATGGTGGCCGTCTCTCTTCGGTATTAGGTTCACGAATTTTACAAATTCTCTTATGCTCATCCAGAACATAATGAAACCGAATTACACAATGCGGATGATGTAGAACACTCAATCCGAGAACTTATGAAATGAAATAATGACACTCGGTCAAGCTTGAACATAATACGAGAAGATTGAGCGACTTTCTGATAACAAAAGTGTGATAAGACATCCTACCTAACACGCGTTCAAGCTAGACTGAAATAGCATCGTTAAGCAGTTGCTTATATGTTTGCATTTTGTTAACGACCGTGCTGCCACTGGGGCTGACTCTAGATTACAATTCAATGTAATTGGTCATTACAGGTACTTAGTTTATACCAAATAATTTGTTTAGAGAATGTAAATTAAAATGAGTAAGAAATTGAAAAACATATTGATAACATTTTTAACTATTAATAGCTATGAAGAAAAGAAGAAATTGTTTCCATTTGTATAGAAAATGGCGTCTTATCTGAACAGCGATGGAAATGACATCTGTTGGAAGCGTACCTAATGCACGAGAAGACCGAAGACACTCTTTTATTGTTCTAGAAAGTTCTGTACAACGGTTATGAGTCATGAGATTTACTTACTTTATGTTTAGAAACTTTAGTTTCAGAAACTGTAAAATGATGTTTACGCTAAACTGAGCAGGAATGCCAGTTATGAGAATTGAGTTTCTGGGAATTATCGAAACATTATAAATGAACTACTTTTATTTGCAAATTTTAATTACATTCGCATGCGTATCATTGGAATCATCAGTATTCAGAATATTTGATATTCTATTAACGACATACGTATAAAAAGATAGAATCTGCACGTTTCTTCTCATAACACCTGGGAAATAAATATTCAATTAATAATGGATCTTCTTTGTGTGTGTTTTTATATGAATCCAGAAACGATATTTTACATCCCAATTGAATGTATTGCACACACACATGTATGTATGTATATTTTTTAATACCTTTTTTATGATCAAGAAGGAAGGTCACTTTTTGTGTTTATACTAACGAAGCCGTCTAGCTTCTCTTTCTGATTCTAAGAGTGTTAAAATGTCCCCTTCGCGCACAGGGCCTTTTACGTTTCGGATCAGCTGCCTATTTTGTTCGTTCAGAAATTCCACTTTAACCTGCGTACATTGCCCTTGGGAACCTGTCCTACCAAGGACCTTTACCACTCGTGCACGAACGATGGGTTTCTCCATGCTTTATAATTTTTAAATACCTTCAGTCTAATCCCACGATTGTACAATTGATCGTGATGCTTTCGATCACTTCCGTAAACTACCCTCTTCAATTCTTGCCAACTTAATTTTATGATTGTTAACATTATTCTAAATTATACTTTATAGAACTATATCAAAGCATCATACAAATAAAAGTATATATATGAGGAGCATTTTTCAAGAAAAAAAAATAAAAAATGCTACAACCTAAAGAATAAATAGTAGTAGTTAATAAAAAGTTAGAGTTTAAGGCGATGCTAGCATGGAAGCCGAACTTCGAATTCCGCGTCGGTAAAACAGTCAACGTTTCATCGAAAATTAGACCGAACAGAAACTGATTTAAGCGCCACCTCAATTATCGCATGCTATGCTACGTCACCTTTCGCATACACCTAAATGACACGTGCATGCGACGATAGCTATATGTATAAGTACATAATTAAACAATACTGACCATGCATTCATTATTATTAATTTTTTTTCCGTAAAATTGTAGTTGCAATGTGATATATTTCAGAATCTGAAAGGTATAGTTCCTGAAAAATATATAACAGAGATTAAATAGAAAAAAAAGCATAAATTTCGCAGTCATTTCGCTCGTATTATTTGCTGCATAATTAATAAATGTACCATAGAAATAATGATATAGTTATTAATTAGTCATCAAATAATAACGATTGCCCAGGTCTCACCACGAGGAGGTTGCTGCGGCTTGGAGACCCGCCCTACCTCATCCCATCCACCCTCCATTTATGCAAATTTTTACTTTCATTCAATAATGAATTCCTCTCGAAAACTGTTATAAGAAAAATATTTGTTAGTCAACGTAGCGAATTTCTATCAAATGAAAAGCAGAAATTATGTGTTCTGTAGACAAGAGCGAGATCTGGCGCCTGACCAGAGTCATGGATAAAGTCATGGCCTTTCCAATATACAACGACTCTGCTTGAAATATCTCCGCCAGGGTTGATTTCTTTCTACCATTGCGTATCAAACAACTTCGTTCTTTCTAAATTCCATATTTTGTGATTTTCTTTTTATTTTATTTTTAACCGACTTCGAAAAGAAGGAGGTAATTAGTCATTTGTAATTAGTCAAAAATCATACAAGTTCCTTTTTCAGGAACTATAAAATTACTATAATTATACGTTCTATATGGTAATATTGCAATCCCGAAAATACTTTTCTGAATTTAAACTATTGTTTCCCAATTAAAAAATATATAAATCTTTTTATAGTAGCTCTTAGCTTGATATCGCTTTCTAAAAGTTATCTTTAAAAAACGATATCAATTACCAGGTCACACCACGTGGAGGTGGCTACGTTAGTGACCCACCCTAAAATCATAAGAACGTGAAACCATTCAAAACAGACAACATAAAATAAAAATTTAAGCAATACAATTTTGAAATAGAAAATAAAATTAACATCCTAATATCAGAAACAATTGAGAAAATAATAATAATTTAACAATAAAATGCTGTAACGGAAAACATAATTATTAGGATTAGATATACAATAACGTGAAACCATTCAAAACAGACAAACTAAAATAAAAATTTAAACAATACAATCTTGAAATAGGAAATAGAATTAACATCCTAATATCAGAAACAATTGAGAAAATAACAATTCAACAATAAAATGCTGAAATAGAAAATATAATTAACATCATCATTTCTGTAACAATTAACAAAATAATTCAACAATAAAATGCTGAAATAGAAAATATAATTAACATCATAATATCAGAAACAACTGAGAAAATAACAATTCAACAATAAAATGCTGAAATAGAAAATATAATTAACATCCTAATATCAGAAACAACTGAGAAAATAACAATTCAACAATAAAATGCTGAAATAGAAAATATAATTAACATCATCATTTCTGTAACAATTAACAAAATAATTCAACAATAAAATGCTGAAATAGAAAATATAATTAACATCATAATTTTGATTACAATTGAAATGAAAAATGTCGACAACAGAAAATATAATTACCATTACAATCTCAGAGTATGTTTTAAATAAACAGAACATAATTAAAATAAGAACATGAAATATAATTGATGTGCAAATCAATAAGAAAAGAATAATTTATTTCAATAAAGCAATAAACGAAAAAGAAATAGGGGAAATAAAATCGCGAGTTGACCATTCAACGAGCTGGGTATTGAACTCGTAAAATGTCGAGTTCAATACGTCCTGGACGGTATTATTCATACCGTTCAAGGAAAAACACAAAAAATGAAAAAACAAATTAGCGAGCATAGTGACAGAATGACTGTCCATCCGAAGATGGAGAGCCATTAGTAGTTCCCCTCTTCTGGGCAAGTTTTGCCGGGGCTTTTCAGCATATAGCCTCTTCTTTCTTCGGCAATAGCCTCACAAAAATCACTCGCGAAAATTTTACGTTTGCTCAGACATTTGTAAAAACGTAACACGTAAACGAGCAACGATCCCTTGAATCGCTACTCGCATACCTGCACAATTTTTGCAAATGTCCAAGCACATACACTTTTTAATTTCACTTCACTTCACTGCACTTTCACTTTAATACTTCATTTTTGTAATCGGGTCTAGTACCACGACTACGACTTACAAACTAATAAGGCTTGGCCTTGAAAAAATCAAGAGAGAATGCTAAATTAATTAATTGATAAATTAATTAAATTGCATTTTCATCTTTTCTCTTGATTTTTGGTTTCCCAACCCCAGATACAAGCTTCTCACGTATTAGAAGAGAATACGAAGAGAAACATGAAAGCTTGCTCTGGCCCTGCCTACTTATAAACTAAACTCAATCACACCAGAAGTAAACTACCTGCCTGCCTATCGCTATATTTAAAAAAGGGCAAAAATCATTCTCACAAAAATTCACTCCACGGTTCTCATACAACCACCCGGGTGCAAAAATGCCTACACCTAGAGAGAACGTCCCGGGACGCCTCCGACACCCGAGTTCAATTCAACTTTCACACTCTAATAAAATCATACCTTTTTGCTGAAATCGACTGACAAATAATAGTGAACATTATGCTAAAGTAATACATTTCATTTTCGTATTCTATTGAATTATCTAATGTAAAAGTTTTTCAATTTATTCTTGATAAGTATTTTGTAATGTTATAGTAAGTTAAGATTGTTAATAAACGATACAAATCCCACATCCTAACCACACACACACATGCGGAACTTCTATCGTGGTTCACTATTGGTTCACTACTTTTGTCAGTCGCCAAAATGTATTACACTTAAAACTAAACCTTGTCCACCGCCCTCCACCCACGCGAGTACATCTAAGTACCCGAATGAGCTTTGGGCATAAAAATGAACAAGGCCAAAGGTATTTTCACCTACCAGTTTTCTTCATGTGTGCTGAAATGCCTAAGCTAAAACGTATGATTAGCAAAAACTAAAGATATTATTCTCACTTTATTAATAGTAAGAATATCGGCGAAATTTCGCGGCTCCGATTTAGTATATGGGCTGGCCCCCCAGGGGGGTTTATTTTTAGTGAAAGTGACTCGACTTTGCAAATAAAAAGCTTGAAGAGCAAATACAGAAAAGCAAAATTGAGCAACTATGACATAAAACATGGTGCACTGCTAATATCAGTTGGCAACGGAGGTTCTTAGGCCCCCTGGACTTGTGCCCGACGCTACATACCACCCACCCCGCCTGGACGTCGTAACGCCAGGACAGGATGCACCCCTTCGCTAAGAGCGCTACCCGCCCGTCCAACACGTTGCATCCAACGTGTCAGATTGACGGACGCCCATAGTATAGACAAAAGGACTGCAGTTTAGAATATGGTAACATATTTGCATATGTTCCGTATTCTAAAACTGCGCCTGCAAAGGCCTAGTAATGCATGGGTTTATCTCCCATGAGATGGTGTTTCACGGTCTTATGCCGCGGAATCCTTGTAACTAATTTGATTCAATAAATAAAATATTGGATTGAGTTTAAAAACCAAAAGGATTCCCACCAAATACTAGTCAGTGCATTGTCATATTTACTCTCGCGTTGGAAATTTTTCGCAACACTAATCAAAACAGAAAATCCTGATCTAAAAACATGACTAGTACATAAACCTCTAACGAGCTAATATTTCACTATACTGATGAATGATGAGTGTGAATGATGAGTGTTTAGGGTCGAGAACCGTGAACGTGACAGAATGAATTTGAAGTACGAACGAAGAGCTTTCTACAATGCTTGAAGAGCAAATACTGAAAAGCAAAATAGAGCAACTATGACGCAAAAATGGTGCACTTCTAATATCGGCTGGCAACGGAGGTTTTCGGGCCCCCTGGACTTACGCCCGACGCTACATACCACCCACCCCGCCTAGGAAAGGATGCACCCCTTCGCTAAGAGCGCTACCCGTCCGTCCAACACGTTGCATCCAACGTGTCAGATTGACGGACGCCCATAGTATAGGCAAAAGGACTGCAGTTTATTAAATGGAACATATGGATGTGCGCCACATCCTAAACTGCGCCTTGAAAGGCCTAGTAATGCATGGTTTTATCTCCCATGAGATGGTGTTCACGGTCTTATGCCGCGGAATCCTTGTAACTAATTTAATTAATTAAATAAGACATTGAGTTTAAAAACCAAAAGGATTCCCACCGAATACTAGTAAGTGCACTGTCATAGTTACTCTCGCGCTGGAAATTTTTCGCAACACTAATTAAAATACAAAATCCTGACCTAGCAACATGACTAAAGGGGAGCTTTAAATTATGCTTCAAGAGCAAATACTGAAAAGCAAAATTGAGCAAATATGACTCAAACATTCGTCCACTGCTAATATCAGCTGGCAACGGAGGTTCTTAGGCCCCCTGGACTTACGCCCGACGCTACATACCACCCACCCCGCCTGTTTAAGGCTCTAGGCCCAGGCAGGGTGCACCCCTTCGCTAAGAGCGCTACCCATCCATCGAACACGTTGCATCCAACGTGTTCGAGTGATGGACGCTCATAGTATAGGCAAAAGGACTTTAAGACAGCTTAGCGTATGGGATGCAACATACTTAAATGTTCCGTACTCTATGGCTGTGCCTGAAAAGGCCTAGTAA